TGAATGGACGTCAAACGTATCAGTCCACGCAAATCTAAAAGTCCCTATTTTGTCGAGGTGTCGGCTGAAATCGATCGCATCTGGCTTTCTTGCATGGTGACGCTATTGTCGTTTGCGCTTAAAATAGAGACCTTTTTCCCCTCTATGACCCGGTTGCAAGCCAACAATAAACAAATATTTAAAGGAAAATAAATAGGTGAAATAGATCAACCTTATCTAAAACATTACATTTCTTCTCATCAATTATTGGTTAAAGTTTCGTTATGATTGTATGTTCACGATATATGAATATATATATATATATATATATATATATATATTAAACAAACCAATTAAATAATGTCCATCATTCATTGTAATTATTAATTATCATTATTATGCATAACGTTTTTATTTCCAATAATTTTCAAATGAAAATACATAATCCATGGAAGATGTGAAAACATTTAATAAAAACGAGTTTATAGGCGAAATACTACAACAGTCACGTTGATCATAATACTGTTTCGCCATAATGACACTTCTAACTGATTTGAAGTTCCAATTTGAAATATGTCAAACAGGGTTTACCTGCCTTCATCGGCGTAAAAGGCGGGGAGGGTTTAGGAGCTGCACCCCACCCCCCCCCCCTCGGAATTGTCAAAATGTGTATTTTCGGGCGATCGCCACCTCATACTATATAAAGGCAGCGAGAAGCCAGATATCTTCACATTCCACCTGCACTTTTAAAGTCACATTGTACTGTTGTTCCTAAACAGTTAGCTTAAGCAAAGTAAGAAAATTGCAGGGAACTTTCGAGAATTCTTTTTGAAATACGACAGTGTGAGAGAGGACCAGAGTATCATTTTTAAGGAATCAGGGAGCACAGGTCTAAAATCTTTCAGAAAAGTCCCCCAAAGTTGTCATTTTTTTTGTATGTTTAGCAATTCACGGGGCAACCATCCCCCCGCCCCTGCTCGTTTACCTTCACATCCCTCATTTATTTCTTAATGAAAAATACAGTAAAAAAACCCACATATAACCAATGATGATATGATTTCCAAAGGAAAATGTTTGAGCTATTTAGAAACGCCAAAATGTAGGGGAAGAAATATCAATGCCGTGTGCGGCATCAGGGGAAGGAGCAAAAATACAAAACTATTGCGGAAAATAACTAAATAACTATGATACCACCCCAGGAAAGCGAGTTTAGCGATATTTCCATTTCATAATTGGATCATGCATAATAAACGGATAGATCCCCCGTTGACGCTGTTGAGGCCGAAGTGAATGGAATGTACATGTATCGTGCCATTACCTTGGTTTGCCCGAATCTCCAGCCAAATTATTGCGAGATGATGTACTTTTTCTCATCTATTCTGTAAACGATGAGAAATTTATTGTACAGGTGAGCTGCGTAAGTGCCTGGTTCCCTCCAGCTCACGATATAATTTTGGTTGTATAACTTGTATTCATTGATGTGGTATCATGCATAATGCAAATGATATTACAATGTACTAATAACCATACAAACTCGAGGCAATTTAGAAGTGTGGTGATGAAACACGACAATATCGACACGAGTAAATTTGGATGATGAGGGGAAATAATTTTCATATCAGTATTCGGTGGCCACGTTTGACGTTTGATGTTATTAGTTTGACTAGATATCCTACCACTTAATAATAATAATAATAATAATAATAATAAGATTCCGCTTTTATATAGCGCTTAATACATCTACGGTGTCTCCATAGCGCTTCACAGATATACTATTACCCAGGTTATTGGACATGTGTGCACAATCTCCACTCCATGGGGAGCATTCCAGTCAGGCGATACTTGACGTTACTTAGAGCTCGACGATTGGAGCATAATTTAAAGAGGCTTTTATTTAATAAAGAAAATTCCAAACTTGAGAGCAAATTCTTCTAAAAGTAAGCTGAAAAATCAGAGAAGCAGACTGGTAAAAGTTTAAACGAAATCTGACAAAGAATAAGGAAGTTATGAATTTTGGAGTTTTGTAAGTTGTAGTCACTATGGGCACTTCAAATTGGTTGAATCGGTAATGTCACTGTGACGTAGCGCTGGGCAACTTTCCCATTTGCCCTTAAACACATAATTACTAAGATGTCAATATATATTTAATATTATAACAATCATCTTGGACATCATGGAAGTACAGTCTTGTCTCTATGGCTTGACTGAACTGGGTGTCCTTCCGACTTAATTATTGTCTTCTTTTCTCTATTACGTAGTATATCATTTATTATGTTTGTTTCAAAAGTCTCTTTATAATATGTTGTAAATGTTCTGTATATACACTGTATATCGTGTTTTTTAATGTGATTTCGGAGATTAAATAAATCAATTAAATCAAATCCTAAAAATATATGACTCATGCAGGAGGTTTTATTTTTAGAAGGACCTATAAAGAAAAAATAAATACAAATTTGAGTAGTGCCTTTATAGGGACAAACCAAGAGAGTTGTCCAACTTGCTAATTTGTGATTCGCGCAGATGTAGGGATTTCATATTTTAAACAAAATTACATAACTTTCTTATTATTGGTCCGATTTATTTCAAACTTTCGTCAATCTCTTTCTCTTATTTTCATATAATAACATATACAATGAAGTCATTATAAAGCTTAGAGTTCCTATTACATTCAGCTATATAGACAGGGAGGCAATAGGGACTTTTAGATTTGCGTGGACTGATACGTGTGACGTCCATTCAAGGCAGTGTATTACGTTGTCGTTGTGCAAATCTAAAAGTCCCTATTATCAACATTGAGTCTCGGCTAAGCAATGGACAGTTGCTTGTACAACACGAGAGCAACTATTTTCCAAAAAATCAGTGTCGACACCGTAATGAAAGTCGGATAGAAATTATGTAAGGATTACGTAATGCATGTATAAAGTCTGCACCTTTCAATTTGCGCCGCACAAGGCTACTGAAATTGCATTATGATGATTTTTCGAAAGTAGAGTTGCTATACATAATGTACATCCGTATTATCTCTGTAGTGGAAAGTCATTGCGTGTAGCTATAATTATATGCGAATGTTGACCTAGACGTGTTAGATGTACGATGCTGCGACTGAAATTATAGGAATAATTATTCTTCATGGAAATTTAGATGTCTCACAAAAGATGACATACACATTTATAGAGTTGGATATTTAATCGTGATAATATTATGGTTCGATATAATAGCGTCCACATGCACTCTCTCTCTCTCTCTCCCTCTCTCTTTCTCTCTCTCCCTTTCTCTCTCTCTCTTTCTCTTATCTCTCTCCATCGTCTACCTCTCACCCGTTCTCTATCTCCCTCCTCCTTATCCCAATCGCTCCTTCTCCTCCCCCAATTTCCCCTCTCTCTCTCTCTCTCTTTCTCTTTTGAAGACTTTCGACATGTTCAAATTCTCTTAATTTGGTAAAAAGGGATTATCAATTTTATATATGATAATTATTGGAACCACATAAATGACGATGATGGCGGTGGTGGTAAGGATGGTGATGGTAGTGATGATGATGATGATGACAATGATGATGGTGATGAAAAAATAGATGATCGTGGTGGTGATGATGATAGTAATACGATCAGTATGGGAGAAGGGGGTTTACTGAGCAAGTTATATACCCTGCAGGTATGATCGGCAAAATAAATATCATCATGATTTTAATAACAAATACCGAGAAAATTATGTTAGGGTTATGGTAGGGTTATGGTAGTATGCTGGCAATTGTAATCTTATAGACATACCAACAAATAGAACATCAGTTGAATAAAGTTCACCTTGCGAAGTTTATGTTATGTATCGTCATGTTAAGCGATATGTTTTGCAGGTTTTCTTTGAAAAATGCTTTAAAAATGTTCGCACGTTTTAGATAACGTGTACATTAAACTTTGAAAAATAGTATGTAACCCAAAATCTTGCGGGAGAATAGAGCGAAATATGTGCCATTCTCGTAATGTTATCAATAACTCTTCGTCGAGTGACTGATATAATAATTCATTACGAAGAACAGTATTTCAACAGACATTTAACGGAAATTACTTATGTGTTAGGTGAGACAGGAAATGTTTATCTGACCTAGCAACATGCATGAAATTTGCATTCCGACTATTGCCATAAGGATATATACAAAATATTAATAAATTAGGAATTACATTTTTAAAATGATCCATATGTTTTAAGCAAGTTATCTGCAAGAAATAATCGAGGAATACAAACCCTCACGCAATTTACGGTCATCTTCACAGTTAAACCTCGTATCTACTTCTGTGTCAACTCTCTCTTATGGTAATCGCTCCTTTCGCAAAGCTTCTGCTGAACTTTGGAACAAATTACCTTTAAATGTAAAAAACTGTCAAACCGTTAACCTATTCAAAACTAGTCTCAAGACACATTTATTCAAAATTGCGTTCGATGATTAATTATCTCTGTTCACTTTGATGTGTATTCCATATGTATTGTTATTTGTAGGTTTATTTGCATTTTTAGTTTTGTATAAGATGTAATTGTATATCAGTCTATTTTGTGTGTATAGCGCTTAGAGACTTCGGTGGTAAGCGCTTTATAAGTAACGTTTTTATTATTATTATTATTATTAAGTTATGACACAATCCCTTTTAAATGATCATTATCTTTTCTTTCAAAGGTAAGGTTTACGGGTGCTTCTAATGCTACATCGGGCAATGTCGATTACGTAACCACTTTGATAGAGAAATTCATAAAATTGTATTCATTATGTGAACTGGCCTATTTGCTTCTTGTACACTAGGCTTCATTTCGATTGCGTCATGACCTTCGCTAATATCAAGCATACAAGAGGAGACTATATAAGCCTGTACGCCAATATGTACACGCAGCGTATAGGCATTCTTCACCGTGTACCACCCACACACGTTGCGTCAGCAAAGAGTGACGCAGTGTTCCGTCAGGCAAAATGACGCAACATGTGTAGCGGGTATCAATGTTATGTTAGCTATATTCTGTATAAGTGAATTGTTTACCTTCTCTTTCCATCCGTCGGGTTCGACGCCGTCCGAGAAAGGAATGATGAAATCATCATCCTTGCTCGACGATAAAGGCTGGTCTCTGATACTCCCCAAATAGGTGGAGTCGGTCCCGCTGTCGAACTCGCCATCGCTCATGACATGATGCGTCCCCGTTGCTCCCCGCGTTTTCTCCACCGTCTTGTACCCTCCAAGTGTACTTTCCACCACACTTATTTCAGTTTCGGGAATTTCCTCCACACTGTCCACGACCGTACCTGCCCTGAGCGCCGCCCAAGCGTCGGCAGTGTCCTTGTATACTAGAGTATGTCCTGTATCGTCCCCGTCGTAGAACTGAGCAACGGAAGGTCTCCGATATGAGGTATGGTCATTCTTAGGCTGAAGAGTTAAATCTTCCCTGTGTCCATGAGAAGTTGAGGAATATGTCGGTACCGCGTCCCCGTTTTTCGATTCGCTCTTGAGCCGGGCCTGTCGGGCTAGGACTCCGATCTTTCCTACCCTTGTTGACACCTTCTTGAAATCCTGCAGGGGTTTACTAGTCCTTGTGTTCGTCCCCTCGTTCTTACTCACCGTCACCCCCATTTTGGTCGGGTGTCGGCTTCAACCAGCCTCACGGATTCCAAATGTTCACGCGTTTCCAATCAGCTTAATAAAGATTAATACGTCTGGATGTTGGTTATCCAGTGCTACCCTCCATTCAAAATATAATCAACTCATTCCATTATAACTGCCAGGCGACGATTCTAAACGGAACATTAAGCCTGAAGGGGTCAGAACCCTAAGCGAAGAGTAACAATGCAGATATAAGAGGCTTAGTGGTGAGACGCGGCGATGTCCATCAACTGGTTATCAATTGGTATTAACAAGACTGGTTACACAAGTGTGAAGTGTTGTCAGCAGCTTGTGGTCTATTCTTCCGTGGAAACAAGTCTCATGTACGTCATACCAGGAGAGGTAAAGAAACAAAATTGAAGAAAAATACGAACCTCAAGTCGGGAATAATTAAGGTCACAATTGCTCGACCTCAATGGACGCGGTTATCATGGTAATGATTCCAGAGTTCAAGAGAATAAGAGCCTTTAATTATCTCGTTTCCAAGTTGTAAAATTACCCGCGATCGGCTGTGCAAATTTGTTCAGTAATCGAACCACGATCTGATAAAGTGGGAGTAAGTGCGTTGACGATTTCCAATAACATCTCATCGAAATATCCCAGAATAATAATTGATCCCGAATCACTAAAAGCTCCGCAGTGCGATGAAGCTGCTCCTACCCCACTGCGCTCCGAATAAGAGTGAAGCACTTTTAGCTCACAATCATAGAAATCCACTGAACAATAACGCGCGTTCCTGACGTCACAATTTATACGGTCGTCTGCATGTCGACTTGCGTTGTCAACAGGTTCGAGTCTTGAGAAGTAATGAAAGGCCTCATCAAACCTTTTGATCCCTGCTTTATTCACAGCCATGATGACATCCACAGACGTTTTTTTTTCTTTTTAATTAACTCGTCAGTTCACTGAGCAAAATCGATACCATCCTAGTATTTGATCGGGGCAAGATGATACAGGTATACTTACGTAAGAGTTTTTGTTTGTGGTTCTCCGAAATGAACACGGGATGGTTTACTCTTTTGGTTTGACAATCATGTCGTTGGAAGTTCAGTGTGAAAATCAATAAAGATATGTGTTAATGTTTTGAATCATAAGGATGCAAATGGAAATTGGTGATAATAACAGGGGCGGATCTTGCTTTTTTGCTAGGGGTGACCCAATGACGATGCGTCCAGCGGCGAGGCGATTTTTTTTTTGATGGCACATGATGGCGTTTTTCTATGCACATCACATTTTCACTTGGCAGCCCAAGGAAGGGGGGGGGGGGTAATTAAACCCCCAACCCCCCCCCCCCCCCGTAGGTCCGCCCCTGGATAAAGTGATAACCTAACTTTGTACGTATTCACCTCCTTTACAATCCATGAGACATTGTACACGGATGTAGCGATTGTTATTAACATGGGCCTAACATTATTATGTCTCGGCAATAATGCACTCGACAAGCTCACGTCCTTTTCAGGGTACTTGAACAACGTGTGCGACCATCCAGCCCTTTATTCCACACACCCCAAACTAAAACGTAAAAAACCTTTGTAAGTTCACGTCCTTTTCTTTTGAAAGCAGATCAATAATGCACCTCTACAAAGGTAGTATTGATACCTCAGTCACACTGCCGAACCGACTCCACACCGCCCCCCCCCCCCAATCGACTGAGTCTTGGCCAATGGGGGTGGGGGGGGGGGGGGGTGGTAATGTATGATTTTGGTCGATCTGTTGTCGATCTGGGACCCGTTTTACCAAACCTTTTTCTCAATGACAAATTACAAAAATCAGTGACAGACCTGCTGATAACCAATCAGAAGCAAGGATATCACTAACTTATAAACTAAAACTTGTCATTTGTCACTGATGACAAATTTTGTGAAATGGGGCCCTTGTTTCGGTCCCGTTGATAATTGTGACTGGGGGTATACCCTTAGAGCGAGTCTCATGTTTTTGCAATGAAAAAGGAAAGAACAAATTCTTGTCTTATTGTGAATTCAAACTTCTTTTTTTTGGGGGGGGGGGGGGGCAAAGACGCCGTTGAAATTGTATTAATATTTATTCAACTTATCATAGAAAAGAGATTTACTTTTTACAACCCCATGTCGATATCACTTTATCACGAGTGTTTGATATCATAATAAATCTCAAATTTCAAAAGTTCATTACTCTCTTATCCTTTGCTTGAACTGTCCCTAAGAGGTCTTTTTGATTTTGATGATGATTCTATGCAGATTACTAATTGATTGTGAGAGATTGCAAATCGGAATGGTAAAATATATAAGCAATACCGCATGATCAATAACGGAATAACATAATATTTTAAGGGACAGTTTGAATAAAATCAAGCAAAAGATAAGAGAGTAATGAACTTTTGAAATTTGAGATTTGGATATAGGATAAGGGTAAGGTTAGGATAAAGATTATAGAGTTAGGGTAAGCGTAATAGGAAAAGGTAAGCGTGCGTTACAGGATTGAAGTTTAGAATATGGTTGGTAAATGATTGCGATGGTTTATCATGCTTCTAATTTAATATTGAACAAGGCGAATCCCTTTAATTATATTCAATTCATTCCATTCAATTATAGTCCTTTCGCTGTGTCATACAGCTTCTGAAGAGATCGGTGCATACTATAACTCATGGTGGCGCTGTTGTATGTAGGTGATCAGAGCCATTGATTAGGAGAGTTTGGTCATCCCGGTTCGGGTTGGGCACAATATGACGAATAATTTTGTTGTTGGCCAAGCACAAAACAAAGAATACACAATGTTGAGTCCAGCATCTTACAGCCAAATTACAAATTAAAGTATGTACAAAATCTGCTAAGGGCCTAATATACTGCAAAAGGTTAAGGGCCTGCAGCCTCCCCCCCCCCCCCCGCTCCGCGCCCCAGTGTTTGGTGAATGCTATTTGACCCAGTATAGGCGCGTCACAAAACAAACAAATAAACAAAAGTAATCAGATTTTGAGATGTTTCATTCTTTAAACAAAAATCTGATGAACGTAAAGCAGTTATCCAATAACCAAATTGTGGTTATCACATTTGAGTCCCCTATTTTTGTTTACAAAATTGAAAAGAGATGTGCAACATTATGGTTCAATGTATATGGGTTTCAAAGCGAGGCACGGGCTAATCTAATGCTCTGTAACATCAAATAATATTATTATTATACATAATAGTGTTTTGATAAGTAGATGTATTTTATATTTTATTGTATTTGTTTCACAGACACCGTTTGTGAACTAGCCTTGTAGCTGATTGTTTTTTTCTTATCGTGCGCTAAATCAATCTTGTGTTCTTTCAAACTGTTTATTTCTCAATGCTTATAAGGCCTCCAACGTGCTTTCCATTTATGAATGTTGAATTGGACCAATAAAGGAATGAAATAAATAATAACGAGTTCGTGATTTTCTTGATACACAAGTGTGTCATGCTGTTGCAGTGTGAACACGGTGTTAATATTATGTAACAGTCAACACGATGGAACCTGTTTCAAACTCTGGTTCTATAATTCTGTGACACTGTGTAACGGTGGCGTAGAAATGTTGGGCACACTATGGAACTTGCCTCTAATCGAATAACGAAAAAAAAGGTCAACTGAAGGCAAAATAAACAAAAAGTGAGAAAGAAAAGAGAGCGTTTGGAAAAGATTTTTTGTTGTTAAGACGACAGACCCCTCCCACACCTCCCCTGAACCAATGGCATATTTAAAGGTAAAGACCAGTATTGGCAACGCCCCAATTTCAAAAAATGAAATGGAAGCTCTCATTACCAATCATGTGAAAGAATATGTTTTGACTAATACATGATGATAAAAAATTTGCCGGGAAACCGCCTACTAATTCATATATTTGGTAAATTTATTTCTCTCATGGTCTGGTGAGAGAGATAGGGTAGTCCCATATACATCTTTCTGTGTATAGTGCTTGTAACTTTACGAAGAATGGGCCAAATTTCTTATCATTTTGATGACTCCAGAACCTTGCAGATGCTAGATGCTAGATGATCAACCTTTTCTGATCGATTCCACAACGTTTCTTTCACAATGCAATCGCATGACCATTACTGGTCTTTACCTTTAACCTTTAATTTCCTAGTAAGACCGGTCCCCCCCCCCCCCCCACGATGCCGGCGCCCCCTCAATGACTGGACTGGTTGGACAACAATAATTGATTTGTAACCTGGACCGATAAAACCTTGTTTTTGTTTTTGTTTTTGATCAATCATTTTTCATTAAGATCATTACACAAAAGCCCTCATTATACCTCAATAATGTGATGTATATTGTACGTTTATTTAATATGTTTTATTGTAATATGTTTCGTATAATGTTTGTCGTGTTTCACTTTATATAGTCCTGTACATTGTTCCTAAGAAACAAGTATCCTGGTCTTATTTTGTATTTTCCCTTTGTTTTTCCATGATTAAAAGTGATGTTAAAAATGAAAAGAAAAAAGGTGTCAACTCGAAATCAGGAGATTGTACTACTTGTAGTTTCTTTCATTATGCCCTCAAAATTTGAGATGGAACGCCCTCCCTTCTTCTGTCCGCATTTCCACTACGATTGACCTTTTCGATAATAATTAAATGTTTATTTCTATAAATTACTTTTCCTCATCTGGATGTTAGCATTAGTATCATTTGTCATGTAAGTTGCATTGAGCAATATTTATTGGATTTTGCGCTAGATAAATATCAATTTATTGTATGTATAGTATGCATGGCATTTCCCTCATATTTCCTTGCAAGTTTCGCCATACGATTGCACCATACTGATTTTGAGGTAATAGCACCAGCTATGGGTGAGTGACATGTCATCCATTCTACCCTAATATCTGCATCTGCACCTGGAACTTCTGGAAGTCAATAATATATCGGTCTTAGTATTATATCACTTATTTTGCTTATCACTTAAATGCCTTCAAAAGAATACATAAGCTTAAACAGTGATCACATGCAAAAATTCACCGTGTTACTATCAACACTTGCTTTTTACAATTTACGAAAATTGAAAGTACGTGCACTTTATTCGACATTGATTAAAGCTGAAACAAAAAAGAAGATATTTTCAAAACAAAATGCTACACAGATCGTGACAATGGCTTGCATTAATATGTTCCTTGCTCTGTTACACAGTTGTTTTTACATCGTGAATGAACTTTCAAAAATAAAATAAATAAAACAAATACAAATGTTTTTCATTAGTAAGTTAGACAGAAGTTTTCTGCCGCAATCTAAACTTCACAAATGTTTCGGTTTTAGGAAAATTACGTTGGATTTTTTAATCATTTACAATGAAGTACCTGGTGACTCAAAACATTTAATCATTTATCAATAGTTGCTATTTTTGTTGTTCTTGTTATTGTTTTTTTGTGTGCACTCAATGACATTCTTGGACGGAATGTGCTACTCGTAGTAGGGGAGGGGGGGGGGGGGGTCATTACATATTACACACGTGCATTTCCCCCACAATTTATCGTTTCTAAAGTAAGCGAGCAAATGGTAAAATGTTATTTCGTAACTAAAACCAGGGAGGTGAGACTTTAACTCACATGCCCTGTTAAAACACACTCGATAGGCCTACGCCCTACGATATAAAATTATGTAATGCGGGAACCTCGCTGTCGAATACATGAATACGATTTATAATAACAAAATTACCTCTAAGCACAAATATATAATCGAAGTTGTATTCGCGGGCACCTTCCTGCCCAAAGAATTTTCGGACCTCGATCGTTGCCCATAATATGGAAGTATTTTGGCATTTCATTGCCTGAAGCAATTCTTTTTCTTACTGTTGCGAAAGAACGAAGCGAGTGAGGAAGAAAGACACCCTATTGCAGCAGCGTATACGCAGGGCCAGGGGGGGGGGGGGGTTAAACCCCCCTCAAATGTTTAAAAGTTTTTGTGCTAATAAAATGTCCCCCCCCCCCCCCTAGTCACTGAACGACATATCTGACGACGTAATTTTCCAATTTCCGGGACACAAAAAGAAAATGCTATTAACCCCCCCCCCCCCCCCCCGCCGATTGGCTGAGTCGGTGCGAAATTTTCGGCGCGATTTTCAAAGTTTAAAACCCCCCCCCCCTTGAAAAAGATCCTGCGTACGCCACTGCTCTATTGTGTTTTTTCTTCATAAAATACAACTGAGCGCTTTTTAATATTTTTTTTTCTATGTAATTTGCGTTGTCCCCCAAAAACTTTGAATATAGCTATAAATCTCTCTCACGGCATCCCTAGAGATATGTTTATACCGAAGTAACCACATGGTGCCGCTGCTTGCATCCCGGTTGAAAAAGACTAGACTTCTCTGTCATTTAATAATTGCCCTCTCACGTCCTACCCGCGTTTCAGGACAACGCCCCCAAACAATTTGGATGTGAACTGTTTACATTCGTGTGCAGTGTGCATGTGGTGACCGCCAGAAGCAAGAAAACGCGCGCTGTATGTACTGTAAATATAGCCCATAGCAGATGTAGCTTAGCCATGGGGAGCGCGGGTCGTGCAAGTACTGTCGTCTGCTCAGTGTTTCTAATTACCGCTTTACTCCTCAAAATTCACCTTGCAGCGGCAGACGATGAGAAAGTTGATTTGAAAGAACACGCTGAACATTTCTACGGATCTAATCAGGACAATAAGGACGGGGATTGCCCAGAATCAGACGGGGAAAATGGAATTTCCGAGGAGTCGGATACTACGTTGGAAAGAGAGAAGGAAGTCCCGGTGAAGTTGACGCGACTGGACGGTGTACAGGTAATTCACACGCGGAGTGTTTAGGCATGCAGGCCGCTGGCTAAAGCCTCAATTGAATATCCAGTAACTGAATTTTACATAATTCCCTTCTTGTTTCCTCTTCCTTGTTAAGCGCGCGACCGCAATCAACAAGCTGATTATTTGGTTTAAAGGAGGATCGGCGTTGCACATTGCAGAAATTTGTAGTTGTTAAATTTATTTACTTGTCTTAATGTTGAGGGTAATTAATAACAGAAATAGACTCTAAACAAAAATTAAATAATTACATGTATAAATGAATAGTTGCTGGTTGGGCTATTACTCTGGTCTCGAAACCCTTGACACAATGATGTGCATGGCATTGGCTTCGGTGACGTCCTATTAAAGACCATCCATTCCACTGCTTGATGGTGTGTGGCAGCTAGGAAGAAGTTTTGGTGATTTCGACAGTGCATCGGATCGAGGGCAAACTGAGGTTTTGTTATAAAGATTTACATCAAACGTTAGATTTTTAGGACAAGTAACACAGAACATATTTGTATCATGACCTTGCTTTAGTTTAAGTTAGAGTTTTTGAAATCTTGTCTCTTTTCTTTTACAATAAATATAGGCCAAGCTAACCAGTTGTATTTTTCATTGTGGTACTGATAATGATATGATGCCAGGGATGTAATTGCCACTTCACTTGTAGTAAACTGATTAATTTGAGCTATATACAGGAATTATATTCATGTATTATTATCTATTGATATATTATTATTAGTATATTGTAGTAGCTTTGTTATTATTATAACAATAGTTATAGTAGTAGTATTATAGTAGCAGCAACCTCATTATTATTATCATCATTAATTCATTATTATATAATCATGATTTTGTCATCCCCCCCCCCCCAAATGTATATGTTGAGAAGATATGTTGAAATATGAGGTTGATCTTCTTTCTTTCTCTCTAGGTGGGGCACATCCAGGAAATCAATCTCACGCCCGGTCGATCACATTCTCTACATACAGTCAACATGAAACCATTAATCTTTGGTAAGGACTTTGTGATGAATAAGGGGGGGGGGCACCCAGATATCTACGACATGCATAAAAAAACAAAAGTTTTTAAAAAGTATATGTATAAATATTTTTCAGAGACGTGCACATAATTATATGTCTCTACTCTCTAAAATCACTATGAGCATGACAGACAAAGAAAGCGGACAAAATATACAGTTCCTCGGGGCGACAAAGGAATATCCCTTCACTGCTATTATGTAAAAAGGTGAATATGCATGTGACACCTGTTCTACACATCCTTACATAATAGCAATGAAGGGATGTTCCTTTATCTACCTGAGGAACTGTATATTTTGTCCGCTTTCTTTGTCATTCATGTTCATAGTGAATCTTAGTTGAGCAGAAATTTCTCGAATTTGCCCCCAATTAACATTGTATTGTACATGTAGAATGACCACCTTAAATTACAATTCTCTGTCTCTCTGTCTCTCTCTCTCTCTCACTATCTCTCTGTCTCCCTCTCTCTCTATATATACACGGTATCTCTCTCTCTCCCCTTCTCTCTCTCCCCTTCTCTCTCTCTCCCCCTCTCTCTCTCTTCTATCTCTCCTCTCCCCCTCTCTCTCTCTCTCTCCTCTCTATCTCTCTCCTCTCTCTATCTCCCCTCTATCTATCTCTCCCCCTCTCTCTCTTCTTTCTATCTCTCCTTTCTATCTCCCCTCTCTCTCTCTATCCTTTCTATCCCCCTCTCTCTCTCTCTCTCTCTCTCTTTCTCTCTCTCTCTCTCTCTCTCTCTCTCTATATATATATATATCTTTTTTTCTTCGCCCTTCTTCCCACTAACATTCACACTCCCCCCATAATAAAAACATGTCTACAGTCCAGGTCCTTACACATGTAGCAGAACTTCCTTATTTGTAGTCCTAACTCCACAAAAAGGAATAATAGTTGCCTTTATTTTGAGGTATTACATGTTACAGATGTATCACCTTTTCCACATTATTTTGTTCAAATCAGGTTTACAAACATAATTATATGCCCGGCCTGTTTCTGGTGTCATTCAAACAGAGATTCCAGACTTCTTTTCTAACGAAGAATGCCAGCACATCATACGGCTTGGCCAGGAGCAGGGTCTTGAAGTAAGCTCCACCCATCAAATCACCGCGGACAACACGCTCCGCCTCCTGGATACGAACGGGGACCAAAGACTGAGTCTTCAAGAAGTCAGTATTATTACAATTTTTTTGCCAGAGCTGAGTGATTATAAGAGTTTGAGTTTGAGTTTTATTAACAACAAAGATAATAATAAGTAAAACATAACGTATCAAGCATGATTACATTAAATATAACAATATAACACAATAACATTACATATGAATAAAGATAAACATTGGTTTACAAAGTATGTTATATACAAATGAAATAAAAGAATATGTCTACACTTTTGTTGTTAACGGGGGTACCAGAAGTTATCACAAGTGCTTGATGTCGAGTCTGGTTCCCTGTCTTTGACAAAAATTGTCATAGAAATTTGATTTGATTCCTATGTTAAGAAATAAGATTTTAAAATTCTTATTGTGCAATTTCTTAAACAGAATTAAAGATAAACTTGAGTTCTGGTAAAAAAAAAGAAAATAGTATAGTAGCAATGCCAGCAATTTTTTTTAAAGGGAAGTACATTTTTTCATTCAGTTTAGAAGTTGCGAGCTCAGAAACAGGTTTTTCTACTTTTTAATGTTTTACTTTTTTAAATTTCAAAATATTACATGCTTATGTATATACCCATCACACGAATATACACTAAAGAGCATATTTTCAAAATTGTTACAATTTGAAATACTGTATGACTTCTAGCTACCTCAGTGGCACTATTTCAAATTGAAGAGAGTTACTCCAATCTTGACTCGCTCTCGATCAGCAAGGCCTTGGTATACGTGACGGTGCCCTGCAGGAACGGTTATCAATAAGTAATGGAATTGACGGAACACCCATTAGCCTACCACACTAAGTGGCTTTATAGCTGAGGCACTTTTTGACCATGCTCATTTCGCTGTAGCGCTTGATGTTGTAAAGCGCCTTGTAGGGCACGCTGTAGGAAGGCAGCTGCCGTGAATTATTCATTGGCGGGAGCTGTGATTGCCACGCAGCATTTAAGTGACGGCGCCCTCGGGAGTTCACACTCTTGCATGATGGGAGTCAATATTGCATAAGCATGAAGTGAAAGTGTGAACTTTATCAATCACATTCGAGATAATTTTAACTCATTTTGTCCTCCTTTACTTGTTTTAACTCTTTGTTTGCTTTGTTCGCCGATTTGCACGGACGTAGGCGTGCCAACTTCGCATTTTTGCACAGATGTATACGAGTCAATTAGACATTCATAATACCGCTCGCAGTGTGTAGCCACGCGTTGCGTTTACTATTGTTTACATTGTATACATCGCACACTTTCCGGTAAACTGTTTTTCTTCATAGTGTTACATTCGAAATTACCGTGTATTTAGCGGTTTTCTTTGGATTTTTTTACTGATGTTACGATGGCACCTGCTGGAAAACGTCAACGTGTGTTTAGTGTAGAGGAGGCTCGAGATCTTGTTACTATGGAAGCATGGAGCATGGACTCTGATTCCGACGAATCGAGCAGTGACGAAGACTCTAGTGATAAAAGTGTTCCCTGAGAGTAGACTGATAGAATAAGAATGAATAAAAATTAATGAAAGAGCTAGAGATGACAGCAAGAAAGAGAGTAGACTGATAGAATAAGAATGAATAAAAAAAATGAAAGAAGGAGATAGAGATGACAGCAAGAAAGAGAGTAGACAGTGATAGAATAAGAATGAATAAAAATAATGAAAGAAAGAGATAGAGATGACAGCAAGAAAGAGAGTAGACTGATAGAATAAGAATGAATAAAAATTAATGAAAGAGCTAGAGATGACAGCAAGAAAGAGAGTAGACAGTGATAGAATAAGAATGAATAAAACTAATGAAAGAAAGATGTATCCTGTCTTGCCGTCATCTTTATATCTTTCTTTTATTATCTTTATTCATTCTTATGCTATCAGTGTTTACTCTCTTTCTTTCCGTCATCTCTATCTTATTATTATTATCATTTTCCTATCTATATGTACCCTATGTCTTGCCGTCATCTGTATATCTTTTTCTTATTATCTTTATTCATTATTATGCTATGAGTGTAATACTCTCTTTCTTGCCGTCATCTCTATCTCATTATTATTATCATTTTCCTATCTATATGTACCCTATGTCTTGCCGTCATCTCTATATCTTTCTCTTATTATCTTTATTCATTCTTATGCTATCAGTGTTTACTCTCTTTCTTTCCGTCATCTCTATCTTATTATTATTATCATTTTCCTATCTATAATTATGTACCCTATGTCTTGCCGTCATCTCTATATCTTTCTCTTATTATCTTTATTCATTCTTATGCTATCAGTGTTTACTCTCTTTCTTGCCGTCATCTCTATCTTATTATTATTATCATTTTCCTATCTATATGTACCCTATGTCTTGCCGTCATCTGTATATCTTTCTCTTATTATCTTTATTCATTCTTATGCTATCAGTGTTTACTCTCTTTCTTGCCGTCATCTCTATCTTATTATTATTATTATTTTCCTATCAATATGTATCCTATGTCTTGCCGTCATCTCTATATATTTCTCTTATTATCTTTATTCATTCTTGTGCTATCAGTGTTTACTCTCTTTCTTTCCGTCATCTCTATCTTTTTATTATTATCATTTTCCTATCTATATGTACCCTATGTCTTGCCGTCATCTCTATATCTTTCTCTTATTATCTTTATTCATTCTTATGCTATCAGTGTTTACTCTCTTTCTTTCCGTCATCTCTATCTTATTATTATTATCATTTTCCTATCTATATGTACCCTATGTCTTGCCGTCATCTCTATATCTTTCTCTTATTATCTTTATTCATTCTTATGCTATCAGTGTTTACTCTCTTTCTTTCCGTCATCTCTATCTCATTATTATTGTTATTTTCGTATCAATATGTATCCTGTCTTGCCGTCATCTTTATCTCTTTCTCTTATAATCTTTATTCACAGTAAAGTCCTTTCATTTCATATCACTATTTCTCTCTCATAATGTCTCTCACGTCCGTTCTCCATATTTTATTCATTGCATACTCCACTCGTCAATCATTTCTGATAATAAGCTCTCTCACAATAAAGTAAATGGAAAACAATGCAATATAGTTTATATTTTAAGATTGATTCATTCTTTCTTTGTATATCTATGGCTGTGATAAATGTACTTGAAATCAATTTTATTGAGGGGTAAAGAAGGTGAGAGAACAGATGCGGTGAACATTCATAATGAGACATTTCAATAAGATGCTGATTATGTCATGTATATCACATATAATATATTATGCCTATACCATTTTTACATGCTCATACCAGTGGGCAAAATCAATAACATTCTCTTATTTCTTATTGACTTATCATGGCACAACAAAGAAAAACATCCCCACGACGTCCCTTTTCATGCCCCGCTAAACCGGACATTGACAATAACCTGGGGTAATAGGGATTTCAATGGGCAGATTAGCCCATTGTCAAGGGTGGCTGAGCGGGGTACTTTCAAGTCTCTCCCTATTGAACTTCTTTTCTTCAACAACCTAAATACTAACCTTCTGAATTGTTAGAATACTTGAGCAAGGTATGTAAAGAAAGGTAAGAAGTCCACCTTTCTAATAGATTCGATTTGAAGATGTCTTATCATTGCTAAATAAGAAATTCTAGAGGGATAAAAAACTGCCGTAAATAAGAAAAATTAAACATTATATAATTATGATTATTATAAAAATGATAATTCAAAATATAACAAATGACGGTTCATCGAAAAGCACGTTTTCCGGTCTACAACTTTGCTGCACAATATTTTTCATCATGATCATCCAGTGAAGAGTTATAGCCTCTTGATTCAGCAGAGTCAATAAAGATTCCCTCGAAATGTGTGACCCTAAAAGAATGTGGCACAGGGTTTTTTTTTAAGTGGCGCATAAAGAGTTAACAAGTCTCTGTTGTGCAAATTGCTTTTTTTTAATGGTTGAAATAATCGATTATGATTGCATCATAAATATTTCATATTTGTGTTTTTACTTGACAAACAGACGAGGTGTTTTCAATCACACAATGCTGTAGCAAAATTTATGTATGTGGTGGTCATTTATATTCCTGTTTAGAGCATGAATCAAGCATTCTGAATAAACAAGAATTATTATATGCCACTGTAAACATTTTTTGGAGATAATTGCCACTTTTGTCCAGCATCTTTTCAATTTTAACATTAAACAATGAGGAACTGAAATGTTGAAACAGCTTTATTGAAATCATTTACTTTTAACAATAAATTTCATTACTGAAATTGAATAAATAAAGAATTTTTGGTAACATTAGAAAGAGTAGTAGATTTACTACCACTTTTGTGTGCGACCTTTTGTGATATAAGACTATGATGATTAAAGAAGTGCAGGCATGTGAAAAGTAAGGACTTTTATTCCTTCTAAAATCTTGAAAAAAAGCATAGCCCTTTCCTTTTTCTTCAAATTTAGATGAGGAGAACGATCGAGGATGGCTATGATATCTACCTTAATGACGACGACATCAGAGAAATGTAAGAATCAATCATTTTGTATCTGTCCATTATTTACAAGAAGTTTCTATAGACAAGATGGAAGAAATGGGAGATAAACAACATTGAACTCAATAAGAATACAAAATGAATCATATTTGCAAGAGACTTCAATCAGTACACTTGATAATACGTTGGCTAACTTGTACTCATTGCAGTTTGTGAAACACTGCCCAGGTGCTCTTTTCAATGCACGTCTACAGCGTCGTTTCAGTAGAGGCACGGTCACACGTGATGCTTTTACTTTTCGTTACATATATATATGAAAGACAAGTGGGAATTCGTAATATAACTAAGCATAATATGAGTCCTGCAGATATATTTACTTTATATGTGTGTTATATAAGATACATTATATTGAGGCTATGTTTGTTATAAGATACAGAATATTTAAGCATATTATGCTTACGGTAGGTCTTTTAAAAAAACTGTCACCATAAACCGTCACGTTTTACTGCGTCAAATATGAACAAACCTCGAGTCAAATCATCAATCTTTATACTATCGTGCTATTTCTTCCAACACAGGTACTTCCGTCTCAAGTTGGATCCGAATCAGGATGGTAAGAATTATATTTTTATATTTCATTTCATATCATTTAGTACAGTCAAACCTGTCTACAGCGACTGCCCAAGGGAAACACAAAAAGTGGCCTTTGTAGACAGGTTCCTTTAGTACATGTTTCAATGAGAAACCATTTTCAAGGGAAACAAAAAATGTGCTTGTTGTAGACAGGTGGTCTTTGTAGACAGGTGGTCACTAAAGCAGGTTTGACTGTACTAGTATCCCACTCACAATCAATATATCAATCAGTGCTTCTGCGACAACTGCGCATCATCCATTTCCTACAATAATCAAATAGAGAACTAATAAACTTCAATCCAGGGACCCAACACTATACTTAACCCTAGCCCTAAGTTACTAGGCCTAAAACCCAATTCTCACTACCCCAATCACAGTATTTGGCCATAGAGGGCAGCACCGGCCATGGGTATATGGTAAAGGCACTAATTCCAGTTTCCAAACAAATATAATGGGTCGAGAACTGGAAGGTCTGATAAAAATTATAGTTTTCAATATAAAATAGCAATTGCGGAGTTAGCAGGAGTTAGCACCACAATTGCGAGGTTAGCCCTGCTATTTTGCAGGGTTAGTTAACCCCGTACTATAGGTGGGGTTAGCCCACTTTGGTAAATACGAGTCTGAACGGAAAGTGGAATAGGCTTAACCCCGGACTATAGGTAGGGCTAAGACCCCCCTTTAACCCAACCTATATTACGGGGTTAAGCAAATTTTTGCCAGTGTGACAAGAAAGTGGAATAAGCTTAACCCCGTACTATAGGTGAGGCTAAACCCCCCCCCCCCCCTTTAACACCACCTATAGTACGGGGTTAAGCAACATTTTGCCAATGTGAAGAGAAAGTGGAATAAGCTTAACCCCGGACTATAGGTGGGGTTAAGATACCCTTTAACCCCACCTATATAGTACGGGGTTAAGCAAAATATTGCCAGTGTGAAAACAGTATATGTGATGTTTGAATAAAACAATTGGGATTTGGGTATTAATTCGGTCTTTGCAAATCCAAATAACATCCCTAACAAAATTAATCATGCCACACATATCAAATATCGAATATCAAATATCAACGAGCATTTGTGCGTGTGTGTTTGGGTGTGTGTGACTTTGCCCTTTGCAAAAAACATATGCAATGCATTTCATTTGATACATTCAATCCATTCTCTCACTCCGCTAATCCCAACATAATACATACTGTAGGCATCACTTTGGCGCAAGTTGATTTTTGCACTCTCGCAAACAATACCACCTGTTCATCCAAGCGTGAACACAAACCACACAAAAATGGTACCAAATGATTTGGGATAAAACAATCTTTCCTAAGATGTATAATAATTTACTGTTCATAGATGATTTTTTTTTAAAATTAGCAATTTTTAGGTGTAAACTTTTTTTTGACTCACACAGTAGCATGGTAAAAAAGCAATACGAGGTCTTCTTCATCTGAATTCACTCTGTATCACTCTCCCCACAAGGCCTCAACTACACGTGTATCCAGATAATTATCCTTTCCAGGCCAATGAATCTTTCTTCTGCATGGTAGAAGGATATAATTGCTAAGGATACAAGCTTTGTGTCCACTGGGACTATATATACTCTCACAATTAATGCCAATTAAGTGGAAACTTGTCATTCATCTTATATGTATGATACTGGTATTCATCCGAGCTTGTGGATTGCAAATGAACAGTGGTACTTGCATCATATGCCATTGATTAAAGGGATGCTGGGGGTGTATCATAAACAGTTTGAAAGTTACGCATGACTTTTTTGAATGACTTGTATATGAAGTGCCAGATAAGATGCCCAAAGTTTTTTCTGATATTTCCAATAACCTCAATTAAATTATGGCCAAAAATATAATTTGCATTAAAAATGGTTGTTATAATAAGAATGTTAATCTAGCTACATCTGCACAATTAAACTTGATAATAATAATCAATAATGATTGAGCATCCCATTTTGCTTTTCATATACAAGTCGTTCGTAAAGTCATGCGTAACTTTACGAACAGCTTTATGAAACACCCCCCTGGTGTCATGAGGAACTGATAGATAGATAGATGAATGCAAAAGAACAACTAAGGTCTTCAGGTGAAGGGGAGGTGTGAGAGAGGGTCATCATTTTTTCATGTTACCTCTCCCCTCCCCTTTTATTGCTCTCTTCCCTGTCAGACCACAGCATGCTTCCTTCTCTTTTTTTCTTCTGCCATTCAATCATGGGGGCATGTCCTGTGTCCATGACATGCCCCCGAACACACCTCCCCGCAGATGAACTAATGTTGATTGAACGGGTAATCATACATGCTGTACAGAAGGATAAGACTTAGGCCTAAACAAAAAGATCTTGTATTGCCCTTTGCGGCCGACCCCAAAAATCTTGAAATCTACGGTAGGCTTTTAAAGTTTTATATATTTGTTACCGTTTTTTAGAGAAAAAATGTTTAATGAATAAAAAAACACATTAAAAACTGAAAAATATCAGCACAAAGAGGGAAAGAAAGTAAAAAGAGGTAAAAAAAAAAGAGATATCTGACCGACCGACCCATGTTTTGGCACCTATTAAAAGGGCAATACAACATCTTTTTTGGAAGGCCTTTTGATATCTATGTTGAATAGCAGTCCAATGGCTGCCACGCTGATGAACAAGATTAATTAACTGCATGCAGACAGATTTTTTGCCATTGAATGCCATTGAATGCATGCTATAATTAGATGATATGAAAAATACATGTCTCGAACAAAACAATATTGATTTTTTTATTAATATTGATTTCCATTTTCTGTCATTGTTGCTGTTTAATTGATTGTTTTTTGTCTATACTGTATGTAGAGTTGTTGTGGTACAGTGGTTCATTCGCTTGACTCTCATGACTCAATCCAAGGGATGAGGGTTCAAATCCTAGCCAGACACTAACGTCCTTAGGCTAGATATTTGTAATAATCTTGAAGGTTATCGATAGCACAAGACATTAGTTTCATCATTCCAGACAATCCCCAGTGTCCAGTTGCTCTTTTGGAAACTGTTAATAAAGTTGCCTTCATTTTGAGATGAAAGAAGCTCTAAATAAGAAAGTTCTGTGAAATATCAGAATTATAGAACTGATTTGGGTGTTGTTGTTGTTGTTGTTGTTGTTTTTGTTTTGTTTGTTTGTTTTTTTGTTTTTTTTTTTGGGGGGGGGTTAGCACCTTTTATCCCCACAAAATTCAAATTCACATTTATAATAATAATTAAAACATAAAGGAGGATCATTCTCAATATTCTTTTGACAAAGGATAGCAAAAATAAAAATTATTGTAACAAAGATCGCTCAGTGAGTGCAGATGTCAAAATTACAATAAACCGAAATAGCAAAAATTTACATCAATGATAAAGGGGATTAGACCACCCACCCCCCTCACGCCCCCTTGTCTGGTAGTTGATAACTACATGTATGTCTTCCTACGCCCCTGGATACTGTCTAGTTCCTTTAAATCTCCCACGGAATTGCAGAGAAAAGCGATGGAGCTATCTCATCAAATTGCACAAAACTCAGGACTAATGTTATTTGGGATGATAATCACGTTCGCTTGATATATTCTGTGTTTCGTCGGGCCTGCTGCTCAGTGAAAGGAAGAAAAATTGATTAATCAAGAGAGTGATGAAACAGGTGTTTGAGTGGTGTGACATATTGGATGCCACATTCTGTATCCAGGCGGCCGTGACTGTCGAAGATTCACAGCACGTTCTCACTCCGCAAAGATCGTTTCATGAAACGTGAGTTGTTATGTTTACTACTGGGCTCTTGATTGATATATGTAACAAACTACACTTGCTTTCCAAATTCAGAGGAAACAAAAATACTGTGCGTTTGGTCTACAACCAGTTTATCTACTAAACAATTTGTTTATTTCCATTTGGTCTACACACAGCCAGTCTATACTAATAATCAATTCATCTATATATCATAGAGGTTGCGTTTATTGACCAAATTTTTGGCTAGAATCAGGTTTCTCAAATGCCTTTCAGGCAAATTAGGTGATAAACGCAAAGCCTTTTTTAAAGGTCTTTAGAAATGGGCATATCTAAAGACGCAAAAAGGTGTGTTTTGAATGTGACATACAGTTTTGAACCCCACAAACGAATCGGACCACCCAGGTTAAGGGTTCGGAGGCTAGCGCGCGCCATGTGTTGTGTACAAGCATGTGTGTGTGTGTAGTTGACCTCGAGAAACTGTCTGCTTCCCGGGTCAAAACAGCTGCGCAGACACAAGGCCTTTATTTTGAATCGTGAAGAGACGATAAACGCGACATCCCGCAAATCACTTTCGTATAGTGGGGTTCGATAGTGGGGTATGATAGTGGGGTACGATATGTACATATCTAGTGGCAAGCCCCGATAAACGTGCCCTTAGTCTAATGAAGATTTAGACTAATAGCCATTTGGTCTAATCTCCAATATGTCTCCTGACCAATTGGTCTATTGCTCATCTATTCTAATTTCTTGTTTGTTTAATGCCCATTTTGTCTAGCATCCCTAAGCTCTAATAATCATCTGATGATTATTGTTATTTGATTAAATTATTATTAGACCATATGTGGATGGTAGACAGGCTGGGTGTAGACCTTATGGGAATAGACCAAGTGGGTAGTAGACGAACCAGTTGTAGACTTAACTGTAATAAACCCAATACAATATTGGCATACAGCTTTTTACAGAACAAACACATATACATAACCGAGCAAATATACTTGTGACTAAATTATGCACACATTAAAAAAACTACAGATGCAAAATGATAGTATTTACAATGCTATGGATATTGATATTACAAACATACATGAACAAGATTTTTAGTTCTCTTAGAGGTAATCAATTTTATGCTTATATCTGATCAACTTCATTCATCTCTGTATCGCTGTCCCATTCATATATGCCCTTTGCCTTTCTCATATTTATTCTTAATCAAATTAGACCTTGAACCAGAGAGATTAATCACGTTGATA